AATTACAAAGTATTTTGGCATACTAGCGTGATAGACTAAATGCGTATCACATCGCTGTTATTCACACTGTAATTGACAGATGGCAATAAATACCTTCGTTGATTATTTTGAGTTTTATTTTCAATATTAATTGAAATATACAGGTTAAGAAAGTAAAAAATCAATTTTTTAGAAAAATATGAAGCATGCACAATATGCGAATAAAATCAATGAAATATCCACTGTTTTTTTAGATAAAATTGACAAATTCTGCATTTTCACATTAAGAAATTGTACAGGCATGTAAACGTATAGCATATTATTTTATTTGTATCTTATAATTAAAGCACGGATTTCAATGGGAAGTTCATTACTTATTGGCTGATCTAAGGCAATACTTCCAAGTACATAATTCGTAAAATTAAACGAAGTATTACCACTTCAAAAGTAAAACTTTTATTTTTAATTTTTCGATGTTTTCAGATTTTTTTTAGCATTTTATTAATTTTAGTGATGCAATATATATAAATACGTTATTCGAGTTTTTAGTATAATTAAGAAATTCAAAATATTACATCAAAAAATATTGTTTTTATACATTTAAAAAAAATAAGTTTTAGGTATTTTTCATCTATACCAAATGTCAATCGTTTTGAATGTGAAAGCGATGACGTCTTCATTTCCCTACAGCGGTTATCGAATGCATGATGAAAAGTAACAACTGAGTGGTCAGTTTGAAATCATCGAATCGCATTACAGTATGAGTACTGTTTATTTATTGTGTAAATACAAGGTAAGTCTAAGTTTAACACTTATATTTGTTTTGAACTATAATTTTTAATTAAGTTAAGATTAAGAGTCGCTTAATATACCGAAATTAAAACATAATTTAATTATCAGTTGAGTAATTGTGTGCCTATTTATAGTAGCTACTTATAGTAGCTACTTATAGTAGTTATAGCAATAGCCAATAATATATAAACGGATAGATCGCCTTCGCTCAGAATCGTTTTCTTAGGTATGCAATGATTTATCTTTGAATTCAAATTTAACACATACATTGCAGTGACTTACTCAATGACGAAGTAAGCTGTTAGTACCTATACGGCAGTGGTTATCTACTTTCCTCCTTTTTACTTAATACATTGAGTAATGAGTATAAACTAAAAGTAAGATGATAAATTATCATCTGTGGACCATAGGCGGAGATCCATTGAAATATTGAGGGGGCTCAAATAGTTGGTAGCAAACAAACCCGTGGAGGCTATGCCTCCACACCCCCCAACACTTTTTTTTATATTTAATAACTCATTAAAATAATTAAAAATTCTCATTATTATACCTAGTAATTAGAATGCACACAAAAAAGGAAAAATGAACAAAATACAATTGCCATTTTTAACTTAATTGTATTAACCTATTACACTTCTTTTCAAATATATTTAAAATAGTGCAATTTAGTAACGATTTAGTTTTATCTTTTTCAATGTATATAATAGCCGGAATAGCTTACTATGATATCAGGTATCAGCCTAGTTATTATCGTTTCTCGTGAAATAACAACAGTAAGAAATGAAATAATATTTTTCCCATATATTTATGGAACCGTATAATAGGTTATTGTATATTATTGTAGCAATATAGCCAAATCGCCAATACACTCGATTAGTACACAGAATAGATATACCTAGTATGACGTTTAGCGTTTAGCATGTTTATGTGAGATACTAGTGACTAGTCCTTATTAATTATTAAATATAGTTTTTGGATCCAAACAAAAACAAATTTACATATAAATTTGATGTAAAATTCTTATTTTTTACAGTTTAGGTATTTATTTAATAATAATAATAATAAATTATCCCTAGAACATTCTGTAATCTGTATACAAGTATGTTATTGTTTCTTAAATTTTTAGGGGGGCTTTAACTTCAAATTATTTATTTTGGGGGCTCAGTCCCCGTAAGCCCCCCTCCCCCCGATCTCCGCCTATGTATGTATTAAAGAAAATGTTATCGCCTACCCAACCGCGGATAATCGAAACCAAGGATTAAAAATCTGAGGATAACGAGGGATTACTGTATACTAGAATCAATGTGTACCTCTAAAATGTAAGTAGGCAACGATTGGACATTTCTCTTAAATATCTATATTTTTGCTCATTAAAAAAAATACATAAAAGGCCTTTATTCGTATTTCCTCTTGTAAAATTCGTTTTCGGTAAAGCTCAAGTGAAATGCGAATAACGAGATATTAAATGATACAGTATTTATAAGAATTCTTGTTTTACATTTTTAATCCTTAGCTATAATAGGGCCATTAAATTTTCAAAATGCATTTACAAATATACAATGTTTTATAAATTTCTAACTTAAAATAATTTTCCAATTTTCACAAATTTAATGTATTTTGTTAAAAATTATTGTGGGTTAACCCTGATTTTTTTTTCATTTTCCACTTACAAAAATGTATGAAGAATGTTGAATTACATTTTTAAGTATTTTGACAAAGCAAAAAATTTAGCTATCGACAGTTAAAAAAAATAATAATTATATTATATTATATTATAATTATCAAAAACCTATATATTTACACCGATCTACGGTAAGTCTGCAAATGGATTTAAAAGTAAATAACAATGTCTAGTATATTATGATATAAATATATACTGCTATAATAATTATATATTAATAACGTAATAATAAATGCTACATTTTCTGCAAAATTACAGCATTTTTGTAAGTCTATAAATACTATACATGAGTCTGAAATTTAAATTTTGATGAAATTCGACATTTCGGAGTAAAAAACGAATTCTCACTAAACAGGGGCGAACGCAAGAAAAAATTTAAAGTAGGTATTCATTAATATCATAATTATTCATACAGTATTACACTTCAACTATTTGTTTTAGGCACTTACACCATACACATTACATTATACTTATTATACATATTACATATCAATATATTATCATAGATATAAACATAAAGATAGATTTTAATTTTTTATAAATTATTTATAACATAGAATATAGATAGTAAACAAAAAGTCAAAAACTCACATTACGATTTGCTTCAGATTGTGACATCTCGGGTTTTCGTCTTTTTATTGGTGAACTGCCTACGGATGATTTATCTGAATCTACATCAATCGGAACATTCGAAACATTTTTATTTTCTGGTTTAAAAAACTTTAAAATTGAACTCATTTTTAATATTTGCGTTTAATATAATATAATACGAGTATAATACGACAGTCGACAATCAAAACTTTAGTGAATAGCGGTAGGTACAGCGAGAATGCGGTATGATATGTCGTGTTTGACGTCCGTTGGTGGTGTGGTATGTATTATATTGATTATTGAACAATGATACAATTTCTAGAATTATCTAGATTCTAGATAAGACGGGTCTTTTGCGAATTTCCCGTAGATAGTAATAAATTACACTTGTCATCTGTCTACATTACGTACAATTGGCAGCCACCGATGTCGATCAGTTATTAATAAATTATAACATACTGTCATACTTATCATACATTTTAATGGTAATTTTACTGTAGACATTGATTAACAAACCACAGGAGAAGGGAAAGTTTTTAATAACTGATAATTTATTTTAATTTTTTTGAAATTTTATTAGTAATACATTTGTAGGTCAGATAATTTATTTTTGTACCTTGTATTTCGTGGGGGGGGGGGGTTAGCGGGCCCGGTCTCCTTCAATACGAAAAAAAACTTAAGGTAAATGATAATAATTATCAGATTTTCCGGGACGTTTCACTTACTGTGACTGTACCAGGGTCTCACTTGCTAGTCGCTATTTTTTTCGATTTTTCACGACGGCGTCATCGCCCATCGGTTACTAGTGCTTGCGACGGCGGCAGTAGCAGGCATCACGATCTCAGTATAATATGATCCTATTACCTTCGTTTGGTAATTTACCTCCGCCGTTATTTTACAACGTTCCTGCAACGTTCCTTGCTACATTATCATAATATCAAATGAAAGAACTGAGTAATAAATTAACCCTCACCCGCGTTGTTTTCACCAATTTTTGTTATCCAATTTATGCTTATTACGATCATATTTATAGCTAAAAACGTATTATCTATAATAAATAATTAAATTTTGCAAATTATATTTAAAAATCGTGAAAGTCACAGTGGTGTTGTTTGATTTCTGTAAAAAATAACTGTGTTAATAGATGAACCAACACAACAATACAAAAAATTAAATAGTAAAAACTGCTCAAATTAAGGATTACATTATACCTAATTTATTTAAAACAATTTATTTTACGAAAATGATACTGATTTTTATTTATTATAGTTATTCTCGTCACCGATGGACTGACTTGTCCTTGCTGTATACTGTATTGACTCAGTTGAGGGTCATTATATAAGAATTTGAATTTGTCAGAGAATTTCTATTTTTCCAAAGACACGCCGTAGCTTACAACTTCTGACACTACCTTAAAGTTAAATTGTCCGTTTAATACAATCAAGGGTTCGTAACAGTATTTAAAAACCTATTTTATTTTAATTTAGTTGTTCAAGTTAAATTTGAATCAAACAATTGTTATTAAATTTTAATCTTTGTATTTATACTCTATATTCTAGTAATATGCTATATTGTAAAAGCCGACATCCATCAATTCTAAGCAATAAAATAAAATAAATAATAACTGTCGTTTCCCGTTGAAAATATGGCTAGAGAATATTATAATATTATGACTAGACATTTTAATATTTTACCGTTAATATTATCAAGTGTGTTTGTGAACTGCGTATTTTACTAGTTTACTATCGAAAGAGTCATCGAGAGACATGGACTTTATAATTTTATATTGAATGTAAATTGTTAGTCATGTAAATAATAATTTGTAACTGTGTGTCGACAATATGTACATATTGTAAACACAACTGTCTAATGAAGCGTATTAATTATCAGGTCAATATTTTTATATATAATTTTTAACTACGATGGTCTGCGCGCGTGATGTGCAATGACCGCCAAATGTGCGGTTTTCACGAACCGAGTCAATCGTATACATGGGGTCCTGGTATATGCCTGGACTCAACCAGTTCACAACAACGGCGTAAAGCGAAGGAGCTTTGATATTCAGGTACAATTATTTAATCTCAACACCTCCTCTGACCGTGGTCGTCAGGTAAGTGTCATAATTGATAATAATTATGAAGTACTTTGAGTTTGAGTCTTTAATTTACGATTTTTAGCACGGGGCGTGGTGGTGACGAGGGAGAGCCATCGGATCAGCAACGATCGCCAACGAAAGTGGTTGTCACGAACAGCGTCAATCGCGACCATATCATGGGATCCTGGTATATATTTTGTCTCAAGTACCCAATAAGGTACAACGGAGGAACAGTGTCTGCCTATTTAATAAGGGGCAATTATTAAAGAAATATAATCTCGTTGCCTTCGCCGATCCTGGTCTTTGTGTTAGTGGTAAATGATAATAGTTAGTTTCAGTACGGTTGGTATACGGGCCACCATCGTTACTGCAGTCTTGTTATAGAAAACAATTTAAGATGGCCAAAATTAATATTTTTAAGAACTCCAAAATTGTTGTTAATTTTTTTATCAATAATTCACTTTAACAATATTCTGTGGCTAAATATCGAATTTTGAAATTAATATAATATTATAATTAATATAATTAATATACATTCAATATTATAGAGCCGTTTGTCAAAAAAATATTCATAGATTATTATGGTGGATTGAAAGCTAAGATCTATGGTTAATATTTCTAAGTTTCAGGTTTAGAAATAATAATATTGGTAATAATAACATTTATAAATTATTTATTAACAAATCTAAATTATTTATTGATTATCTTTAAGTTTTAACATAAAAAAGCTTTATGTAAATGAACAATATTTATAAATTTTCAATTTTTGATATTGTTACACTCAAAACTTCATAATTATTAGGTACAGAAAAACTACAATAAAAGAAAAATATAACTTAGTACTGAAAATTGAAATAGTATAATGATTACCTATAACTTATGTATTAATTAATGTATAATAAAATAAAATATATTACTCTACATTTTCCAAATTTCCGAAATGTTAAACTTAATATTTAAAACTTTATTTTTCTGGCTTTGATTGCAGAAAAATTAACTATAACTGAACCAAAATCAACTGTCTTAGTCATTTATTTTTCGATTGATAGAAGTGACAAGTTAGTAAGTCTGTTTTGGTTCATCGTGGATCGATCTGACTTAAGCTTAACATCGATAGGATAGTATTTTTGTTTTAATTATGTTGTACTTTTGTAGTATCAAGTTTATCAAGAAAATAAATAGTATTTAAATATTAAATGCAAATAACAATGTATTTGGTGTATCTGTAACAATGCTTAATTTTGTTCTTTTTCATTTATCTAGTGGCTATAATAATATTTATGAAAAAGTTCAGTTTGTAAAAAGGCATTGTTAAATATAAAGACTTTTATAAACCTACAAATATTTAATTTAATAAATAATCTAAAACAATTAAATCAGTAGTAAGTAACATTTAATGTTCCATTTAAAAAATAAATAACTGTTAATTAAAAATTACATAACAATGAATTACAATTAATGAAGCCATTTAATATTAAATTTTAAATTTCTACATAATTCATAAAAAAGATATACCTATATAATTTATTAATATGTATTTATATTTATTATACATATTTATATGCAAGAAAATAATGTAATTTATCATACTTCATTATATCACTAATTGCCATTTACACATTGAAAAATAAAATAAAAATTCCAAAAAAAGGTAGCCCTGTGGTCTGCGACTTAATAAATTTCCATAACAAATACTAGATATTCACAAATGTTCTTAACAAAAAAACTCATGATTACATGTCTACATACAGATTACTAAAACTATTAATATTGTTAATTTTGATTTTACTAACCTAACTAAGCACTGACGTCTTTTAACTGTTGCGGTGTCAAAATCGGGGGCGTCATTTCAGTTTATTCGCTGGGTGTGCAAACTTTAGGCAGGCCAATTTTTACATTTCACCAGGCCATTAAGAAATATATATATATTTATATATATAAATGTAGGTAACCTATGCAAACATATGTAAATATTCTTTCCTTCCTTTTATAATTCTTTTATAATTTATAATTGAAACTCATAACGACAAATGCAACTTTCAAATAGCTATCAATTCAAAGAATTAAAAGTTTATAAGTAATTTAAGCAACCAGCTAAAGCCATTTCACTTTTAAATATATTTATTTTAACATTTTTGAAGTTAGTGGGGCTGTTGCACACAATGCTCCTCCCCAGGTTAGGTTGACGCGTTAGCATGACGTTAGCATGACGCCCCTGGTCAAAATTAAAATGGAATTCAGCAAAAATGTATAAAATAAACTGATTTTATAAACTAATACAGGCTATATTATTAATAATAACACTTTAACACGGACACACGAATCGATGAATCACAATACAATCATAATAAAATCAAATTCAACAATATTTTAATTTCCCACTTATTTGAACAATTATTATTTTATTTTAGATCTGCAGCGACAGTCAATCCCGCCGACAGTCGTGAACGGGTATTTCCACTGCAATACGTACCTATTTGTCCATTTAAAAATAATTTTGTTATTACTTGTTAAAATGTAAAATAAAAATAATATTATTTTATTTATATACCCATTGTTACACATTTCTATTAAAATATAATTTTGTGGCTATGACTTTTGTTTCAAAGTGCATTTAAAAAATTTAATTTTTAAAATTTAAAACCTTTAAGATACGCCCACGAAAATTATACTCCCGGGGATAAATCCCTGACTTCCCCCCCCCCCCCTAGATCCGGCCCTGGCTGAGGTGGCAATAATATTTTCTATATAACGTCGCTGTAAGCGCAGGCCCAAGGCCCGTCGTCGCTGGGTGTCGCTCGGCGAGGACGCGAATACGACGACCGTCCGTGTGGCGGTCGTAATACGGACTAGGCGATCCGAATTTGCTAAGTGTTTTATTTATGTTCATTTTTAATAAAAAGTGTTTCCGACTCCCAAAAATTATTTGTTCTGTTTGAGTAGTCTCGCAATTCTACCGTACTCTTTAAAATCCGATCTGGATTTTAAGGTTTAAACGGTGAAGGTATACCACTTGAAAAGTGCATATACGACACTATGTTGAAGTTATGAAGCTATGAAGCAATTGCTTCAAATAGTATTTTATCCCTCCGCCACTGGCATACATAATATGTTTAAAAATTAGGATAAACAGCGTAAATTATATTTATTCTTAAAAAGCTCAATAACCATTAAAACACTTAATCTTTAACAGTATAATATAGCATATACTAAAATAAAAAATCTGTTATTATTGCATACAATTACTGTATAAATAAATAAAAACATTTTTATTGTTTTAAATGAGAAAATTAAATAATATAAAAATGTATGAAAGTTTGAAAATATCTATCAAATAATACATATTATGTCTTATATAAATAGAGATTTCATATAAGATTTCAGTTATATTTAGCAGTCTAATATAATTATTATAATTATAGAAATTTAAATAAGAATATACAACAAATTATAAAATATTCTTAGAAATACAGGTTTCGGACAATTTGAAGTCTTTAATTTTTTTTTTTCATAAACAATTATGATTCATTATTTGATTAAAATTTAACACATCTATTACAGTGTGAACTCAATGAGATACACAGAGAAACTTTAATTCAATTTTGATTTATATTAGTTTTATACGTTTTATTCGATAAATGTGGTCAAAGTGAAGAGTAATACTTATGAGGGGCTGGGGGGATTTAACGCTGGCCTCGACATAATTAGGAGCCCCCATATATTACTGTAATACAGTCATAAACGTTTTATTTATACCAATCAACATTAAATAATTACTAATAGACTTATGGTATAATTTATTTATATTCTTAAAAATAAATCGAATATAAAAAACGATATATAAAAAAAAATCGAATTTATAATTTAGGTTGAGATGCCTCATCAAAAAATTAACTCAACATTCCTAATTAAGATGTAAAGATATATATTGAAGTGTACTCATTTGTTGCTTATAATAATTAAGAGGTATTTCATGAATTTAACAGTAATGCAATAATTACAATAATGACTAATATACTTATTAAAAGGGCTTGTCAGCCCTTAGGCTTATGAGTAGAACTCATACTCGGTGGTCTACCAAGTCACTAAAGCATGCTATTGAATTATCATTAGTGTACTGCAGTGCATATAGGTACCTAATACTTTTAGTCAATAAATGTGTTTTATTATTTATTATTTTGTTTACAATTTATAATTTTGTTGTTTTGTGGGTGCACAATTAACTAAAATCATTGGGTTTGTAGATGCTTACATACCTATAGCTTATATGTTATAATATGCATACTGATGTTAACAAAATTAAAAAAATGACACTTAATGTGAACATTCTATTCGGGTTACTTATGGGAAGTTTTTAATTTATTAAAGGTGTACTCAAACTATAATGAGTATCTTCACATTACTCATATGGACAAGATTACACAATTAATACACCAACAATGGTAACAAACTGTCTCGATAAGATTGTGTGTATCGAAAGTAATCAAAATGAAATCAAGCCTATTTTGGCGATACTCTTTGTGAACAAACAACCACATTTTGTACAAATTCCTAAGTCAATTTCTAAACTAGGTACTCCATTTTTTACAATACAAATTCCTTGCCACCTAGTATACACTTGGGGCTGTCTCAATAGAGCTGTGATGGCTAAAAATGTGTTGGTAATTGTATCGACTTTATGTGCAAAATAAATTATAATAGCTGGCATCATATATATAAATCACCTGATTAGTTTATAGTACCTATTTTTGTTTTATATCATAATTATTTCTACCTTCTTAGTCGAACAATTGACGCTGCCTGAACGACCACAACCTATTTTATAAAATACGTATAGGTACTATAATAATATAACTGCGATACAATCCTTTTCTAAGTCAAACCTTTTTTGTGTACACCTATACAATTTAAAGTGTAATAAACCTAAGTATTACGAGAATAACTATTTGAAACGTATTGGAAATAATTGATTCAATTTTTTGAAAACATTATCATAAATTAAGAAGCATAATTTGAGAATAAATATAAAATTTGAACTACAGGAAATACAAAAATGTAAATATGACATAATACGTGGGAGACTATTTGTACATACATATAAGCCAGGGATGGCACGCGTACCCGAAGTGACAAGCAAATAAATTTTGAGAGCAAGCGAAAAATTAAAATATTTTTATCATATATATTATATAATTTGTATTTTTAACTATACATAACATCACAATGTTAGTACTTTTTCAGTATCTTTAACGTCTTTCAGAAAATATTAGATGATTAGTTATAGGTTAATTAAAATCGTAGATAACGTACTGAACGCAATGTAATATTAATAACTACAGATAAAATTGTGAAATTGTTTTCTTACAAAATTGATTACAAAATAATAATGATAATATTTGATTAATTGGATGGTACGCCCCCTCCCAAAAAAGGTAATTTTTGGGACATATAGCGTGAAAATAATAAAAAAAAAACCGCGTCATACTACTATATTCATTCATATTTGGTCTTATTAATATCTCCGAGTTGCTCAATTTAAATTATTTGAAATAAAACAAGGGGGAAGTGAGTCCATCACTGAAACTTACTTCGTGCATATGCATTGTACGTATAGGTACCTACTTGCTTATTTTATAAGGATAATAAAATTATAGACATTTAGACTTTTAGACATCTTATATGGGTATACCTTACATAGGTGTAATAACAATCATACTTTCTAATAACGGTCTGCTGTTCCATCTTACTGACGTATCTTAGGAAAAGATAAAAATCTCTAATTTTTTATACATTATAATATTACCTAAATATTAACACGCCTTTCGAGGGGTGAGACACTCTATGTATTTCAAACACATTTTTTTGTATACTATTTAAATACAAGAATAAATTGTTTCAGAAAAAAAGTAGCTTAGAATATAGTTAGAATGCTCAATATTAAAATGTTAGTATCCATTTACTGAACAATAAACTGTACATAGAAATACCTATACTACCTAGAACTGGTTTAATATCTACTATTACAATCTAATAATATTTAAATTATAATTCGATATTTTGGATATTACACATTGGTATTGCCGTATTGGTAGGTAATACGCAATGAATTTTATATTGATATAAAAATTAGTGAACCTAATATTATCAAATGTTATCAAATAAGTACATCGTACAATTAGTATTTGAGAGGACGATACGCTCCAGTCATATCTGGTGTCTCCGTCTTAAGTTTTAAAATTAGAGTGAATGGACCTATTATGAAACTTAATGATTAGAAAATGAATTGTGTGAGTAAGTGGATTTTTTTAAGATTTATTCAATTTTCAATAGAGTTATGACCATTTTTTGTTTGCACAATATTATGTACGTAAATTTGATGAAAAATTGAAGTATCGTAAAAAACCCAAGTACAAACACAGATAGTGTTCTTATCATTGTTTCATGATAAGTCAATTTACTCTAATTTTTAAACTAAAGAGGCTAGCTAAATAAAATTTTCTCAACGTAAATTAACTATGTAGTTACGCACTTGAAAGACGAAAACCACAGTTAATGTGTGTGTAGCATCCTCGGTGACCAGGTATTGCTAAAAAAGCTATTTCAGAGATTTTGCTTCTTCGTTTTTGGTATTTGACTTAATAAACTTTTTCTTATCGGCTACTGATATTCCTTTTCTAAGCTGAACAATAGAATCGGTAGCCAGGAGGTACCTAAATGGTTCTTCCAATTTACGCGGGTTAGATGGTTTTCAGGAAAATTCGGTAAACGGTTTGAAGCCCTGGAATAAAAACTTCATCGGTCATTCCCCCTCCCCTCTCCCATCTGTCATAAAAGCTTAGCACGCTATTGATCTAATAACATTAAATACTATGGTTATATTGTTCCTTGTAAATCATAAAAGCTGGATTCAGTACTCACTCGTCGTGCCCTAACTCGTTCCCCTCTCTTTTCTGATGTCGACGTCGACTCGTCAGCCGACGCACCGACGCCGCCTCCTCTCCACGCGTAGGTGTTACTCAACGTGACGTATCAGAGTTTCACGATTTTGAACTGTATTATATTATTCACTTTTTTTGTCATGCCATGTGGACTCTTACCTATTAGCTAAAGAATAGTTACGAAGTGCGTTTTTCGTTGAATAAAATAATTAGTTACTTCATTCATTGCTCAGTTAAAACAGATAAGTACATCGACAAAGAAAACAGACGAGAAATTATGACACAAAATTATACGGTGCGCAATGCTAAATAAAAGTAATACAAAACATAAAAATTCAAAATAAAATTCGATACAATTGATATTTTATTGTTTTTGTAAAAAAAAGTTAACTAGTGTTAAGTATACATAGGTATCTATCAGTGGCGTAGCCAGGGAGGAGGCTGAGGGGGCTGTAGCCCCCCCCCCCGAAATGTTAATACAATTTAAAAATTATTTGAATGGTCTATGGTATTCGATCAAAAACTAAACCACCGCTGTGTAAAAAATTGAGCCCCCCCCCCCCCCCCCCCCCCGAAAAAAATCCTAGCTACGCCACTGGTATCTATATAAATACTTTTTGTAAGTACCTACCTATTTGCATTTGGATTCAAATACTTATATAAATTCAATTTAAAAATAACTATAATATTTTGTATCTGTACTTGAATAGGGAATACTTTTAAAAAGTATCATTTACAAAACTTTCTGTGAGCACCAAACGGACTACAGTAATTTTTTTTTCTTTTTGATGGTCAAAAAGATTGAAATTGTAATGCATTTTCCTTATAAGCTGTTTAAATAGCAATTATTGAAGGCGAATAAGCAACATTTTTTTACAAGTATTTATAAAGTTAAAATCTTGACAAAATCTATCAACATTTCAAAAATGCGCAAATTATTTTTTACCTAAAAATGTATAAAATATTCAATTTTTATAGCTGAGGATTGAAAATCTAAGAGAAGGTTTCTCATTACTCATTAGTAGTTTATATTGCAACTAAAAAATCTGAAAAATATATATATGTACCTACACAGTTTTGTTATGTGATCTAATATACAATAAATTGTTGCCATGTTATTCAATGGACAAATAACAATATATACAAATATTTTTGTGTCCTTATAAAAAATTACAAAATTTACAGTTTTAAAAACGTTTGAAGTAAAATATTTTAATCTTATTACTGTTTCAATTTTATCAAAATGTTCCGGAATGAAGTTACGGGTCCTAAGTTATGGTTTAATGAAATATTGGTTACAAAATCTATAGCTAAAAGAGAATTTCAAAAGCATAATTATGAAATAGGTAAATTACCATAAAATCGTTAACGAAAATAAAGAATAATAATCAATGTATACAACAGCTGTACAAATATATGATACAGGTACATAAATACATAATGTGTATGTATACACTTTACATGTATGTGTATAGTGTATGACTGTTGCCACTTTTTAATTATGTATTTGTTAACAATATAACTTTATGATTTATTTTTAAAAACTTCATCATTATATTTTAGCTGCTCAATACTGTGAGAAAGTATTGGCGGTGTCCGGTAATGATTTAAGCACTAGAATCCTTCTAAGTAAATGTCAACAGAACTTGTTTCAACCGAAATTGGCCTACACAAATCATTTGCTAGCAGAAGCTCAATTTCCTGACGAATTATCAGTCTTGGAGAACAGAGCAAGTATAATGCTAGACAATGAGGAATTTGAAGAAAGTTTAATAACATATTTGAACGGAGCAAAGAAAAGGATTCAGCCATTAGATTTTATATTGGGAGTTCTTAAGGTACTTCTCGTTTTACAAATTAAGCATTGTACCATAGAATTTTTTTTTAAAAATGTGGAATAAGGTTAATGTATACATATATAAACGACAATAATTTTAGGTGTCGGAAATAATAAACGGCTCGACAAATTTAAAAAAAGAAAAATATAGAAAACCTTGTTTGGGAAATGCAGTTATCAAGTTGGCAAATCTAGGGGGTTTGGATAACGTGGCAGCTTTGCACTCGATACTTTCTAAAACAAAACGTACGTGCAAAAAAAAAAATCAATCATTTTATCTTGGTCGTTTAGCGCAAGATAAAAAGTACTTTGATAAAGTACTAAAATCCGGTGGTCCTAAGCGGCCGTTTTACGAGGCAGAAAAGAAAATGTTAGGTAACATGAAACGAGTAGTCGACACGCTAAATGTAGCTTACGTAAGTACAATTTATCAATAAAATTATTTATTTTTGACGGTCAATAATTCTAAATTTTTAATTTAGGAACAATTTTATAAAAGAAAACAGATTTTTGTTTATAAATGTGAAGAGCCTAAAATGAAAGGTGATCGACTTTTAACTCAAATCAATAATTCTAAACTTGTAAAAGACATGGGACATCTTATGATTTGCAAATACTTAAACATTATCATTCAACTGCTAACAAAAAACGAAATAAAAGAAGCCAAATTAAGAACAGAGCTAATGATAGAGTTTATGGAAAAAAAATCATATAAATTCAACAAAATTTTGGATGCGATTTACCAAAGTTTTGGAATAGCGCAATATTTATCATTTCAAAATATAAATCGGTGGAGCATAAAAGATAATCATCAAAGAATGCTCATTTTTTTAGGAGCTGCTAAAAATAATATACCACTCCATGAATCTGTATTTGGACCATATGATATAAATCCGAAGTATGACAGAACTTAAAATCATAACACGATTTTTAAGAAATGATTATAATTTATAATAGTACTTAAGATAGATTTTCCTCCAGCATAAAAGTGATGAAATAGTTGCATTATGAAAAATCCAAGGGTTATAACTTATAATTAATTGCAATATATAATTATCAAAAGGGATATGAGATTGTATAGTAATTAGTAACTTATATATTATTTTAGGTATATATAATAAGTCTTTAGCGAATTATTTTAGACTTCATACTCTTGTTATAATATATGTTTATTTATAGCTTTTAGACATTACAAATTTAGTGAGGATTCTATAGTATAAGAACTTAATACTACACGATATAATACGTTATAATCTTAAAAATATTAATTAAGTACACCTAACATGATTTACTTTTAATAAAAAAGATATTTTAAATATATAAATAGTTGTTACTCTTACTCAAACAAGTTTACATCCTTTATAATCATGTGCATATTATTTTTGAGTTATACGTAGATTTGGGTAATTGATGTATTTATTGAGTTATGGCTTTACATTTTTTAATTATAGGATAGATTTAAGCATAATGCTGTATTTTTTTAAAATAATCCACCAATAACGAAATGATCATACTTTAATAATTGTTTAATTCATGGACTATAAGTCATACATGTATCAATAGTTTGTTAATTCTTTATACTCATAATATAATATTCATTATCCTATTTATTTTACAGAATAACAATAAATAAATTACGTGCACGTGTTGAAAAGACGAATTCCATTATAGAAAAAATTTACATATACTACGAAAAAGCTAAATGTCATTTGGATTTGGGTGACCTTAAAAAAGCTCGAAATAAAACCACCAAATGTTTACAGTTAGCTAAAGAAATTAATAATCATACGTGGACTGTGAATGCATTAATTTTACTCGTATCAATTGAATTTCAATTAGACAATAAACCTAAGTGTTGTAACATATTATACAAAGCTATTGAAATTGCGAATAATCTTCAAGTGCCGGGAGTCATAGTGTTTTTGGATAAGGTTAGTAATCAGTATACTCATAATAATATTGGGAACGTATTTCAATTTAGCTGCCCAGCGTTTTTTACGATTTTTTTTTTTAAACGTAAGTACTTTAACGAGTTTTAGACAATTATGCAAAAACATTTTCCGAAATAATTATTTTGTAAGTTATATCCTTCCATAGTTTGAGATTTTACTTTTATCCTCACGCTCACAACATTGTACTTTACTACTGCGCCCAACGCTTACAGCGACTTTTGATTTTTTTATACGTATTTTCAGTTCTAGCGAGTCAAGAATAATTGAGAAATCACAATTTTCACATTCAGCGAGTCATTTTTTTTCTACAATACTTTAAATTATTCTATTAAAAAATAAACAAATTTCTGGCTTAATCTAAATATAATTTATTTAGGTACACTTCGTAAGTAATCACTAGTCAGCAATAAGTTGTTTTGACGTATGCAGTTAAGCATGCAAAAACGTTGGTAAGGTCAGAATTTGGCGGTTGGACTTAGTTTTAAAGTTAGGTATAGCTAGTTTAAATGTATAGTATTTTCATATACACCCGTGGTTGAGTATATATATATATATTATACAAATTATATGGATTATATTATACTCTTTACTACTCTCACTTGGACAAAGTTTAAAATCGAAAACATTTCTTTACTTGTTATGTAAATCCAGCTTGGGTGGGTCGTGGGTGGGTCTCAAAGTAAAAACAAAATTATTAAAATCACAATTATAGGTACACCAGGCGTGGGTCCCTTGCTCTCTACACTCGCTCGGACAATCAAAATCGAAAACATCTCTTGGTTTGTTGTGTAAAACCGTCTTGGGTCTAGGACTTCAAATAGGTAGGTAGGTACTAGGTACCAGGTAGGTAGCCAAAACTTCAAAACTAAGTCTGACCGTCGAATTCTAAATTCACCGTCGTTTTCAGCAAACTTAACTACGTACGTTACAACAACAAAAATTGAAAAAAAGGGTGTTCGTTAAAACAGATATTATATCATTAAAATACGTAGTAAAAAAAAAAATTCGTTATTATCGCCGCGCGGGGCTTATACAAGGCCGTAGCCAGAAAAATATTTCGGCGGGGGGGGGGAGGGGTTTAATCTTAATTAAGATTAGATACCTACTGTAGGTATTATGTGAGCTGTACATTAGGTTTCACAAAAAAGTACATTAAAATTAGTTATCGCTTATCTAACACAATATAAATTGTGATCACATTGTAATCACAGTGACACGTATCAAATATAATAGGCATTTAAAACTATTCAATATTATTTCAAAAAAAAATTTCGGAGGGGGGGTCTGACCCCCTCCCCCCCCCCGGCTTCGGCCTTGGGCTTATAAGTACAATGCGTATGCGGACAAACGTAAATTCTCAAACTTTGGAAAGATATAACTTCCAAAATAATGATTTTCGCAAAAAAATTTTTTTCACCGTCAGTTTAAACACGGATATTATGAAAATACTATAAAATGATTTAATTATATAATAATATAATTATTTTAACTTGGAATTAAATAACCAATAAAAAAAATACATTTACCATGTATACGTGTATACTCTATTTATTCAATTATATTACTTACTCATTTTGTTTAAAGGTGGCTAAAATGATTTTTGAAACAAAAGCTATACATACTTCAAGCATTGATAAAAAGATAATGGATGTATTGAATTTCATGCCAGACGTTTCAGCGAGAGTGAATGCGATGTGCAGGCTTAAACTATTATCCACTATGCCGATAAATCTGTAACTGTACTATGGAATTAAGAACGCCGATTATAAAGTAGGATTATAGAAGATAACTATATAAAGTTATCATATAGTAGGCGCAAATAAAACAGCATAGGCACCTACTTACACAATTTATTTTTCTCATCATTCCACCAAAATATAAATAAATATATATGTATATATTTTTTATGAAAGAAAATTTACAATCTGTATAATATAGATGAACTAAATAAAATAGGAAAAGCGTATAAAAAAAAGATGCATAATAGGAATTTCGATTGAATCGTAGTCATCAAAAACAAACTTTACAGGAATAATGATCCTGCCCTGTAGAATCAACCAAATTTGATTATTTTTTTTTTGTAATTGATAGAGGAAAATATTCTATAGCTTGCATATTTTCTTTGAATTTCATTATTTTAATCTCAAACTGAATAATAATGACAATTTTAGCTTTTTTTTACAAAATATTTTGGAACATTATTTAAAATCAAATAAAAAATCTAAGTTAAATGTAGACTGTAAAATGTCGTTGTTTATTAACTAAAAAGGAAATTATCTAAAAATATGCACTTGTCGATGAGTTATTATCCATATTACCGTGAAGTCTTTTTTGTCCGCCAAAACGCCTGATAACCAACTATTTTGTTCTTAATTGATAGTTAATGACATGTACTTCCGAGTGCGTTTTTCATGTACACCACACTCATGCTAATAACCGTTTACACTATACTACAAGCTCATCAGATGATGCAACGACAAAACGATTGAGAATTAAGTTGCCAATAATATGCTACTTAATAAATAGCCGGCAGCGGGGGCCTCTACTCCAAATGTTATTTTTTTTATAGGAAATGTTTATTTTGATTTGAGAAGGATGTTTTAATTGTGAAAGAGGTCTTTGGGACATCACACTCGTTAGGTGGGAACTGTTAATAACTGTCATTAACTTGTTAACTGCACAATTCTGCCACCCAACAATGGCATATACCTACTGTTGACCTAACTGAGAGTTTATTACAACAATATCAATACCAAATTTTAATAACCCCGCTTGGCCGCTCAAAGAGTAATTAGTACCTATATCTGACACTTCTATGAATTATAATTTTTATTAAATTCTTTTCGCTATATTTTCAAAAAAAACGGTTTTAAATTATTTGGCTTATTTAAAAATGGAAATAACAAGATTAAAGGATATGCAACAGAATATGAAGCAAATTTTGTAGGATATCATTTCAAAAACAACCCCCTTGTGTTCGCATGACAGTGGTTGTAACAAATTCTTTAACTACTTCATATTTTAAATTTTTAGTTAGTAAAGTTTCAATAATTTAGAAAAAACTACAAATTGACATCGATTAAAAAAAAAATAGTTGTTTCTCTTAAATTAACTTAACAAATAATATATATTGTATTCATAAGCATTTTTTAAAGGTAGATGGTAGATATACAAAGTAGGTGGTATTGGCGGAAAATTGTTGAAAAACATAATTTATACATAATTGAAAAAAAAAATTGATGAAAAAACTTTATATAGTAGAACTATTACTATACAAAGTATTACTACTACTTCTTACATTCCTACCATTGCCTTTTAGTAGTATGTATCGGTTAAGAAATAAAAATGTTTGGTTATTAGTAAAACTATTTTTAGTCATTTACTCTATCACTAATTGTTGTTTCTTAGTTTTTTTATTTAAATAATTTAAATTAGAATTATATAGATATTAGGTTATTTTATAATAGGTATTAGGTTGTGATATTTAAACCAAAAATATAATTGCACACATATATCATGTGTTGTAAGCTTAACATTCAATTTGGTATATTTTCTGTTGTGTATGAAGCCATGAAAATGCTGCAAGTAGGATTTGAAATCAAACACTTTTAAAACTACCTCTTGGTTTTTAATGAATCTTAGTTTATTAGGACTTAAGAGCTAATTTTATCAAATTTGTGTACACATTTCTTGATGTAACATTTTAAAAAGAATATGAGCTTGAATCATACAGGTTTGATACTATTAGACCTTGTAAAAAGGCTGGAGATCCTACTATTTCTAATATTAATTCTCTTAGTTATAACTGTGATGGAAGTATAGTTAATATATAGTTATACTTAATTAAACTTTTTCCGTAAAATTATTATTTATAAAATTGTTTTTGAATAATGAATATTATACTTATATGCTAAGATTTCTTATATACATTGAAAGGTTTCGTTAACATTGAATTTATCGGTGAGCTTGATTTCTTCGCCCATAGGAACTTTGACAAGTAAATGCTGCAAATGATTGGATGATGTTGTCATATCTTGCAGTGCATTGATTAAACTCAATCTGGGAATTTTAGTTTTAATTTGAATTTCCTACAAATTATTAAATCATGAAAATAATTTTTAAAAAAAATTTGCATAAAAAATAAAGATAAATAAATTACATTAAAAGTCAACGTATTATGTGCATTAAACAAGTCTAAGACTTGCATTTGATTAGTTGATACAGTGATTTTCAATTTTCGAGCATCACGTTTCTCGCTGATTGAAGGTAACTCATCAATAAATAATTTTTTAGGTGAACAAGGCTTGCCATAAAAAATTGCGTTTAATTCAACTGTACCAAATTGAGGTAACAGTATTAACTTTTTATTGTTACCACTTTGGTTATTTTTTTTGTAAAGTCTGTGGAATGAAAACAAAGATTGATCAATTATCATTGAAAACAGTATATTATATATAAATTAGGTAATTTATTTATAAATTGCTTATTTATAAGCATATACAAATTACTTATAGATTTATTTATTTATGGTCGTGAACGAAGTTTGTGCAAGAAGTACGAAAAATATGAAAACACAGACATGAGAAAACAGTTCAGCTCCCCGTGTAGTGATGCCACATGAAAAAAGGGTCTACTGTGGGCAAAATAGAGACAGGATTGAATCCCTTTAATATAATATAAGAAGATAACTACTGCATTATTTTATATTGTACATAATAGAACTACCGAAAGAATTATTTTAATTTTATATGATGGATATGAGTTTATTCTGATATAACTGACATTCAAGGTTCGTAAGAAAAATTTCTTTTTAATAATATAAAATATAATATAAACTTGCTTACTTTTGAAATTCATCAAAAACAGTTTTTCCAAAACATGGAATTTCGTGCATTGTTTTTGGATCAACTGGCCAATTGATTGAAGTTAAGACTTGCACATTAAGATCAAAAGCATAAGATTCAGTAGTACCCTAAATATGAAATAAACATTATTTAAAAATGTAGCCATATGTATATGTAATTTATTTTAATTCATTGTAAGTTAAATTACAATTTTACTTACTAAAATACACTTGATAACATTTGCACATTGTTTATAGTTGCTCATGATAGTTTTAGATAATACAAACTTATCCTTAACCATACCTTTTATTTTTGATATGAATAACAATCTGCCATAGCCATTGGCATATGCATTCTATATGAAATTAAATTATATTGTTGTTGATCATCTTTTCTTTTAAATTACCTTGCATAAAATGTATAACTTACCTCAAGTTTGGAGATCATTTTGTTCTCATTGTCCATGCTGACAGACTTACAATGAAGTAATCTATTGGTTAAATTAATACGATAAAATTGTTCAAATTTGACTTTGTTTTTAAGATATTTTATCATGTATATAACATTGTCAATATCAGCTTCCGGGTTATTTTTAATGTACTAAAATAATTCATACAATAAGCAATAAATAACTGATTAAACAAAATGTTGTAATAATATTATTATAAATTAAATTACAATACAATTATTAATATTGTATTATTATACATGTACATTAAACACATTCCAAACAAATTAATCTATAAACAAACATAACAATGGGTTTTATTTGAAAATGTGTACAAAATATAAGTACCTTATCTTTATTATGAACTGAATGTTTTTAAATGACAAATCCATTATTAATTTATTTTTTTAATATTGTAGACTAACTGTAATGACCAGGATTTTCAACTAACAACTTACATGCACGTTCCGTATCCATATTTAATAAATTCTAATTATTAATTATTAATTACCAATTTATCATTGTGACAATAATTTCCTAGTTCACAATTTTATATTATTTTCTCAATATTTAAAAAAAAAATAGTTATTTTTTCAACAATAAATAATAATTGTTTAACAGCAACAATTGAGCATCATCCAGCTTTCAAAACCAGACTGGGGCCAATGTCAATTTTGAGGTCCTCCCGTACTAATGTTTACCATACAAGAGGAGGTTAAATTTTTTTTATCTAATTAGGCTGTATGACTACAGTGATACACTATTTCTTTCAAGGCACTCTAGTTATAAGCGTTATGCCAATATGAAAATATGTAAGAGGACGCCACACCCGCATATGTTGTCTCCGTCTTACAAAAACACAGCAAATTTAGTTCTGTTCATTTAAAAATTAGCGTAAATCGAGCTATTATGAAACTTGATGGTGAGAACATTATCTGTGTTTCTATGTTGTTTAGGTTAGGTCAATTTTTAAGTGAGTTATGAACATTTTTAATTTAAGCTATATTATATACCTACACATAACTTTCTAAAAATTGAACTATCATAAAAAACCAAAATAGGAACACAGAAAAAAATTCTTTTACCATCAACTTTCAGTATAGGCTGAGTCACTATAATTTTTGAATTAATGGAGTTAACATGATCTGCGGTGAGTAAATTTGATATGTTACGCACTTGTAAGTCGGAGACAACACACCCGGGCGTGAAATTCTCTTAATATGACCAGGGAGGAACGGAATTCCAAGATTTCAACATGGCATTATAAATAGCCTTTAGTAACAGAAGAATCATTAAATTGATTATAATTTTCATTCAATAAAATTGCCATAAAAGTGTTATTAAGTGCACATATAAACATAATCATAAATGAATTATTATATTTACCGTATGCTTTCCTTTTCTTAGTTTTTCATCAATGAAAAATGATAGATATTCAGGTACTAAAGGATTGAATTCTAAGAAATAATTAAATTCTTCACCAACAATTTCATCGAACAAGGTGTCATTGTTGAATAAATTCACCTTTAAATTATTAAACTTTCTTTTCAAATCCAATAAACTCTGAAAATAAAAACATATTTAGTTAGTTCAAATATAGTACAATCCCGGTAATCCGGCCGCTCGATAGTCTGATATGTCCAGTAATCTAGCTATTTTAACCTATACATACCAATATGTATTTATGTATACAATTACTATCGTTAATGATAAAACTAAGTAATTAGTTAAAAATAAATAGTAAATAATAATATAGATTATATAATTAAAATAATAATAATTCATTTTTGTTTATATCAGTAAACATGTAAAGTTCAATAAGTAAAAATGCGTTTTTATATGAACCCCAGTTAATCCGCAGTTTTCGTTAATCCAGCAGTAGCGTGATCTGATGTGTTGGATTAACGAGATTGTATTGTTTAATAAATTGATAAAAATACTTATTTGTTAAAATTTAAGTGTTTGTAAAAATATAATACCTGAATACAAGTATTAACATCAGAATTTCTATTTGTTCCAAGTACAACTGATTTTCCTATTTCACGAAAATATGGACGCATACCATCAAACATTACTTTTACACCACCATTCACAGAACTCAAAAAATTATACATCCATTTAAGATCATCATTTTGGTTATTCTTCAACATATACACAACACCACAATTTTCCATCTGAAAGATATAATGGTTGAATAGTGATATAAAAATATAGAATTTGAATTCTGCATGGTTAATGGTTTGAATAACGTTTTATACAATTAAAATAATATAATATTAACCTCTACAATTGTCTTCATATTTTTTACTATGAGTTCAGTTTTAATAATATTAACAACTTCAATTCTAGTTGGTGTATCAAATTTCAATTTTATTTTGTCGATTTCTTCATGTATTATGGTTTCAGCATTTTTAAAATAACCACATGCACAGTAATTAAATAAGAAGTCCTTGCTTACCGTCTGTAAGCAAAATTCATATAATGTTAGCTTGAAAATAATAATATTATTAAGGTTATTTCAATTCTTACTTGAAAATGCTCAGTATAATGGTTCAAATGCAATGGTATTATATTGTTTGTCACATTATTGTCAGATTTTTGCTCAACACTCATTTTTGAAACATCAGTAATCATAGACAAATTAGATACCTGAAATAATATTATTTAATAATATATACCTAACTAATAAAATAAAAAAAAATTGACCCCTTAAGTATTTTTAAAGTTATATTGAAGAGATAAAATATTTAACTTATTACTCCAGCTAAAAGAGTAAAAACTATCTACTCCTTAACGACAATAAACTATAAAAGTAAATGCACATCACCTACTTACTACAATTTGTGTTATTAATCACTATCAACAAAGCATACAGTATAATCCGTATATATTATAATAAATTATTTTATAAGGTAGTTTAAGAAATATGATACATAGTAAAGATAAAATATTAAACAACATTACCTTATTTGGGTTGGAGTTATCGTCTACAACGGTATCTTCTAATAATTTGTCATTATACCGTTTCATGTTTCAAGGCAACAAATTTAACGTGTATAGATGATAATAGAGAAATAATTAGAATCACAGGAATTCACTAGTAAGCTCTTAGCAATGTGTTAGTTTGTTACTTAAGAAACTTATAACGTTTTAGATTTGACGATTTATAAGTGTACTAGGTAATTTTACAACACTAGCGACTCCACAACTGACTATAGCCAAGGATACTTTGAGACTGACCAGTTATCACAAATCAACGAGTTCTTGACTTAACTGATCCCTTCAACAGACGACAACGGACTTATGGACAATCCCTCATGAAAGGAATCCTGAATTAATGACAGATAAATATCATGTCTTTCAACAACACAGAAATATAAGCTAACAGAATTTGTCTATAATATATTATCTGGGTAGGAAAACAACGATTACACTATTATCATAATTATATTTACGAGCGTCTCGGGAACGAGCGTCTCGGGAGCAAAACTGCGCCACCAATCAGAATCGTTCACATTTGTTATCACTATTTGTGAAAATCACGTTTCTTATCATAGATAATAAATAATATATTATATAAAAAAATAGAAGCACATTTTTAGTTTTTACCACGAATTAAAATATATCTTAATTCGTGGTTTTTACAGATAAATAGATAATCATAAAGCATAAGTGACAAGTGTTACTGGGCAAGTATTGTGCTAAGTGTGCTATAAAAAGTTCGATTTATATAATATTGTCAACCTAAAGTAAATAAAAAAATGACATAACATTTGTCAACCTTAAGTCTATCTATAATAGTTACAGTAAAATTCAAATATGTCATAATTAAATAAATACATTAAAATATTTGTCAAACCTTAAGTCCTAAAATATAAAAATAAATCATAGTAAAAAAATCACCTGGATATTAAAATATATTACTGGTAAGTATGATCGTAGGAAGTATGTATGTTTTGTACTTCTCCCAATACCAACCCTTCCTTCAGAGATTTAGGGTTCAAAATAATATGTAACTATATATATTATAGTACTCTAGTACTGTATATTTTCCAAATAAATTTACAAAAAGATATTCTGTCTTCAATCTCATTTTAGTACTCAACAAATCATACTGTTGTTTGGTTTTATGATTTTATAAAAAATAAAAAATAAATAAATAATCATTATTGGTATAATAACTATTAAATATAATTAAAGGGAAAAAACCACAACATATTAAACATTTTATGTTTAGTATTTTCAATATAAATAAATATAACATATTAACACATAAATAATACAGAGTGAAAGTGATTCATTTTTCATTTAATATTATACTTTAGGTTTGTCAATTTAATTTTATATGTAAATATAAATTATATATAAATAATTATTAGCCCTTAGGTTTGAAACATTAGTCACAATTATAAAATGTGAATATAATGAATTCAGAATTGATTCAGTGATTCAATGACATTTTAATGAGCTGAATCACATGAATTAGTTCACTAACATGAATTGAAAGTACCCATCATTAACCTGTATGATTGATGATTATTATATTATCACATTATAATTGTTATAAAGGATGATAAGAAACATGATTTTCACAAATAGTGATAACAAATGTGAACGATTCTGAATGGTGGAGTAATTTTGCTCCTCGAGACTCGAGTTTTTCGTTATGTATAAGAAATAATATCGAGAATAGGTAATGAATCATTTTCTACAAACATATTTGAAAAATCAGAATGTCTGCTCGGAGAGGTGTAATAGTATAGACTAAATGTTTTATTAAATTGCCAGTATAAAAGCCTGTTTCAAATGCGGTATAATATAATTTCTGCAATAGATAACTCAAATATTCCTGACAGTGGAGTCTTTATACGCGAGGACAAGGGACCCTGGAGCCTCCCTCATCACAGTATCTACCTGAAGACTATACGGATCCGAAGATATTATTAGTTGTGTGTTGGGTTGTATATTATTTTACAAAAGTAGGGAAGTACGGTGGCCGAAGCAGATTTACAATGAGCAAGGCGTCGACGTCGGCGGATACCCTGCTCATATGCCTCGGCATCGGTGTCGGCCGGTAACTATTATTCGTACTATACGAACGACAATCTTATACAATATAATTAGACGCATTCAAAATCAGCCATTGACCACCCTCGCCCATATACCATGACCCGGATGTCATGTATATCATATTATTCTGTATGGGTAAAAGACCCTAAGATAATTGTCTGTTCAGTTGTATATTATACCTATTTTAAAAGCATACCTACAAGTAAGATGAAAATACTAAATCGTATTTACGATCTATGGGGCGTCGGCGCCGACGCGGTACGTTCATTTATATACATTAAAATCTCTTTTGAAATCATCCCCTTTCCACCCTTGTCACTAATCTGTTGCCCAGCCAAAGATATATATTTGTGTGACCGTGACGACTATATTCTTGTCGTCGTTGTGACATGTTTATCGCACCGTGCACATTATACCACATCATATTATACGAAGACAGCAACGGGGGTGCGGCGACGGTTGGTCGGCCTATAATATGTATAGAATATGTATAGGCACAAGGCACATCAATTTATATGGAGATAGTTCGCCACGTCTGGTATAACTATTATTCGATGAAAAGGGCAAGAAACGTCGCTTACCGAGAATTTCACAATCGAATTTTTTGGTGGTTAGGAGGTGGTTGCAGGGTCAGTTCACCTTGTTTCATTTTCAGTTCCTGCACATACACATATATGTGCTGAAATGACGTATTAAAATATAGTTTATATAAATAGTATAATATGTACAACAGATAAAATCAATAAACATCGGTAAATTCTAACCATACTTATAGAAAGTTAAATTTTCACGAAAAGCGTTATTATTAATTATTATATGAATAATGTGCTAACAGGCTACCGTATTGACTTAAACATTTAACAGTGACATTTCCCATGATTCTGGTTCATCGTATAATATGCTAAGTGAGCAATATAAGTGGCGTACCATGATTGATTTTCGAGGGTCAGGCACTTATTTGACTTCACACATCCATGTCGTATAATTGGTAAAACAATGAGAGATTTGTGCATTCAAAAAAGATACTCGTAAAGATTACTATGGTTATTGTAAAATGAAACACTTTTTCTGGCTTACCTATAATAATATTATATCAGCGTTTATATATTACTAACTGCTATAATACATTAATACCTAATTAATTAATTTACTCTAAACATTATACATGAATTAAACAGCTCTTAAACAACTATAAATATAATAGAACTGCAGTAGATTGTAAATATACGAAATACCGAACAATTCTGAGGCACATACTCCTCAATGGGGCTTACAGCCACATTATGTATTTTCGATCACGTTTTGTTGAGCACTATACAGTTCTAATATATGGATTGAAACACAACAATCACCTATCAATAATTGTTGTATTATACATATTCCGATATTCGTTTCATTTAGAATTAAATCTTATTGTAATTTTATACGATTTGAATAAATAATTTGCACATACCTCATTTTAGCCATTTTTTTTTTAGTCATTTGACTTTATTATTTTACACGATATGTGCTTCGTTTCTGTGGACAAATTTCGGTCAATAGACCTTATAGATTTCTACTTTTGGTAAAAACACTGGTTTTGTGTTCTTTACACACTTAATTAGACCTTGCACGTTTGCACAAAAATGATACATTTTCATTGAATTTTGAAACTGCGATAACCTAAAAAAAATAGATAGAAAAAAAAAATTGAATAATTAATTTAAGATTTCCCTTACTCAAAAATGTTCATATTACACATTTATCTCCCTTTGAATATTTATATGATAAATTGGTTGTATACGTCTTGAATCGCTCTGTAAATAAAAATGTTTTTAATAATATTATAAATTGTAGTTTAACTCTATAACGGCTCGTGGTAGTTTGATATGTTAGTGTGATACAATTTTTTTGAAGGGGCAGTAGCCTCACACCCCCTCCGATCTTAGATGATTCTCTAATCTATGATTAGCCATACCTGTATAGATTATAATTTGCCTTCGGCGCCCCTAGGGCACTGACCAGCAATAATACTTATACTACTCATAAAATTATATATTTAATTACAAGATAAACAATATTTATACAAATAAATAGTAATAATGCAATATATTTTTATTTTATTTATACAGATAACAAGTATTTCACAATCATTGCTGTCGGTCGGAATTTCTTTAGATATTATTAGACGAAAATATCGAACTCGTATAGCTGTCAATACAAAATCGCAGGTCGCCGCCGAAAATATACGACGAGAAATTATCGTACTAAAATAACATTATTGTCCCGCCGCTACCGCCGGGGCCCATCTCGATATAATAAAAATTACACAGGTAATAAAACAAGTACAACACACATTTTTGTGCGCCTAGGGCCGCCGCACCATACAGTATACGGTATACACGCGAGTAAGTGACCCACCCATTTTCCTTGTCTATGTGACCCACATTACACTGTTACAGCCTACAGGCTTTGGTTGCTCTGTTTTCGTTTAATTTTTAGATTATTCTTATTGTATTGGAATAATTGCTGGATTAAGATGACAATTTTCTTCAAATAATATTATTTTACCATACGATTCTGAATCATTTAAATTATTCTGAAAGAAATATAGATCATCATGATTCCTATTTAGTTCTTTAAGAAGTGAAATTGAAAATATAATTGTATTTAAATAATATGTACTAAGGAAGTGAGGTTGCATCGTCGCTCCCTAGCACGAAATAACACCGAGTTTAAGTAATATTATAAATGAGATATAATACAAACAATATAGTAATATACATACTTAATCGTTTCAGTGAATGAACTATACTAGCTGCTATTTAATCTTTGGTTTATTACGAAGTTATAAATAAAGCTTCGTTGATAATAGTTAGGAACGGCTATTCAAAACTATGTTTAATTTACGTATAGTTTGGCCCAAATAAGGTATTAATGGTTTCATCAATTTTCGATATTGCATTCTAATTTCCAGTTTTACATATTGACTGGTGGCTGCACATAAAATGTGAGCATTTGAAACGTTTAAAGTATATGATTATATTTTATACACACAATGACGTTTTCAAATGCAGTGATACCTAATTATGCCTATGTGATAGTGAAATAAATTTCTTTAGTTGGAATATCATTCAAGCACTAAAATCGCTATATCCTTCAAACGTTTTTACTATTAATTACTTTTTTAGACATCATTGCTATTTAACATATTTTATTTATAAGCGACTAATGTAATGGACAGCCTAAAGGTGACACACCCATCCGTAGAAATGTGGCAGTTTTTAAGATAGAAATCTATTGTACCTATGATATTAAAATTAACTGTGCGAATGACACAAAATATGCGTTTTACCAAAAGAGTAAATCTATTAGGCATGTAAGATGTAACTATATTGATAATTAATGTAATTTAGAACCGTAGTCTATGAGTTTATACATATACGCATTCATTTTCTATATTAATTAATTATGGTAAT